GCCGCGCCCCCCCCCCGCCAGCGGCAGCTTCTCCCCAGCCTCACGGGTGATGCCACCATGGTAGATGGGCAGTGCGTCCATGCTGGGGCCGTCTCCAGGCAGCCCTCCCTGCGCTCCTCCAACTGCTCCTCAGCCGTCAGCCCCTCTCGGCACCTCCGTCTGGGTGCCAGATGTAAACAGGATGTGTTCACACCTCTGAAGCCTCTGCACAGGGTGAGACAGTGCTGGGGGAAGAGTGAGGAACGAGCACAGTTTTTTTGTGTGTGTGGTTTTTTTTTTCCTTTGCCCCTTTTTGTTTTCCTTTTTCGCAGGCTGTAACGTCCTCACAGCATCGCAGCTCGCGCACAGAGGTGTCGTTTCACAGCCCCTTCGCCCGTGAGGCTCCTTGCTCGGCAGGGACGTGACACGATGAAGTGCACGATGGCTGCAGGGCTGATGGACGCCCTGGGTGGGGCAGGGAGGCCAGAAGCATGGCATCACTGCCAGCGGCTGCCATCAGGTGCTTGTCCCCTCTGGCATTAACCCAAGGGGGGACAAAGAAGGGTGAACCAGGACCCCGAAGGCCCTTTGCAAAGCACAGATTATGTTTTCTGCTCTTATTTTTAATATCCCCAGGGTTGAGAAACTACAGGCAGCAAGCTGGCCTCACTGTCCCCGCCCCGCCAGGCCGCTTGCCTCAGGCTGCGGGCGCCGAGCTCAGCCCCTGCTCCACAGCAGCAGGTCCAGCGCCCACAGACGCCAGCCCCCAGCTGATCTACCTCAGAAGTGGTTGTTTTCATAGGCTTTGGTGGTGTTTAATCACTGTTAATGACAGGGGTGCTCCTTATTTTTGCTTGGAGGCAGGCAAAAGCCTTGGCACAGGCAAGCAGGCCCCACACGTCCTTCCTGACGCCATCGGTGCTGCTGCCGCCTTCATGTGGTGCGCGAGCAGGCGGCCAAAATCCAGAGACGCATCTGAAGAAGCCATTTCTCTCAACTGCTGTGGTCACAGACATTTCCTCAGTACACTTGTCACTTGAAAGCTCCCGTACGCACGTGCTTGCAGATGGGTCTGTTTGCAAACAAGCTGAAAATGTGCTGTTAGAACCCCATAGATATTTCCGCCCGTGGAAAATCCGAGCGTGTTTCCTGGCGCTGAGCAGCACTGCACGGCAGTGGCGAGGCGGTCCTGTCCCTGCAGCCACGGTCACCGCGCCAGCCCCACCGGGCTGCAGCGAGCTCAGGGCTGAATTCATCCCCAGCGCGAGGCCGCTGCGCTCCCCTGATGAGCCACGTTGTCATACCTGGGTGTCTGAGTAATAACTCACTAAAATATAGCAGTAAGTACGGGTCGTGCTTATGATTGATTCATTTTAAATTGAGTTTGCTAGCAGGACAGGGCAGAAAGAAATTGTCTCACCCAGGTGTTCACAGAACGCGATGTCCCAGTTGAAGTTAAGGATGGGTAAAAATAGCTCTCTAGACACACACATCTCAGGAACAAAAATTAAATTAAAAAACACTGAATATAAGGGCTGCTTTTTTAAGTTTCAATCAATCAAAATGTTTTCTCTGGATTGTTTCGCAGCGCATGCCTTTCAATTCTGACCTTTAATGTCATTTTTCCTTGAAAATATTTTTTTTTGAACTCGCTTTTGCTTTTGCTTTGGAGGGCCAGGCGTTTCTGACCAGCGGGTCACAGGGTAGCTGGCACGTGGGGCACTGCACCAAAGTCACTGACAGCAAAGCTGCAGCTTTCGGCGGCAGCGTGAGCCTCCTGCCCTCAGCCTGAGGGGCTGAGAAACCTGCAGAAAACCTCAGCTGAAGAGGGACTGAAAACGACGACCACCATGTTTATGGCTTTTCTATCTTGTTACGCAGGCGTTCATGACCTCATTTACGCGAACCTGGGGACTCAGCTATCCTGTTCAGTTTTTTAAACCGGTTGTTAAAGCATTTGCACAGAAAGGTAGAGCTGCTGCCTGCTGCAAATGTGATTAATGCGGATGGTGACAAGGTGTAAGCAAAGCACTGTTCCCTTGTAAAGCTGCTACCTATTTCTTTTCCTTCTCCAAAACACCTGTACTCCTGGGGATTTCATCTAACTTTCCCATTTCTTAACGTATTCTCAATATTAATAGCTGATTTCAGAAGAAGTATACGTGTAGTTAGTGGGAGAGGAAAACCAACCAGAATTATCCAGTTCTGCAGATCTCATTGCCCCACTCATCAGATTGCAACTAAAGCACAGGTAGAAAATAATAAAATTTTGACTATGAGATAGTGTCTTAATAAGAGAGTTACCACATTACAAGGCCAGCCTGCATACTCCCAGCACTTTGAAGAAGCAGTAGTTGTTACTGTAAAAGAGCTGTAAACACCCAATTGTCCTTTTGTGGGTAAGGAAGCCATAAAATTCCAGCTACTGAAGCCCGAAATCTGTGTTTCCATACAGATCTCTTTATGGTCGCATTGACTAGGGAATACACAACTCTTAAGTAATGGAAATGCTGGATTTTGGAACAAGTGACGCTAAGCAAGCATTGAGGCAGTGAGCAGGATGAAAGGAACCAAAGAACATACGTGCTTCCTGGGCTGAGAAGAGAGAATCCGTGACACTGCTAGCCTAGCTCTGCACCACGCCACCAAGGCTGGAGGAATCCTCCCTTCTCCCAGCCAAGCCATCCTCACTGCAGCCTTGCGCTGTTGGCACGCAGTCAGGCCCACACTGACTGCTCTGGTTTTTATCCATTGAATCTTCTGCATCGAAAGTGTTGTTTGCCACCTCTTCCGTACTGCTGCATGTGTGCAGTGGGGCTGAGAAGGCAAACTGCAAAACAGAGCAGCAGGATTGGGAGAGTAGGAGCAACAAGAGAGGCAAGTCGCAAATCAACTTTATGTCCATTGCCTTCCACTGAAAATGGTGATTTCTTTAAGCACCCCGAGCCTTGCCCTGTAGGATACTGGACACTTCTCATGCTTTGTTTGGAGAGTATTCAACGTATTCTGGACACCACAGTTTTGTGCCTTCCCTAAATCAGTCCAGCTAGCAGCTCCTGCAGTATACTATAAAAAATTTATCTAAAAAATACATGAAAAAAAGGAAGCACTTAAAAGTGCTCTGAAATATTTGGTCTGAAAAACAAGCTTAGAAAGATAGGCCTTCGTAGACCTCTTGGGTCATCAAGTCTAGTTCAGTGCTATCTTAGCCAAACACATCATATAATTCCTTTCAGAACCTTGTTATACTCTGTCTTAAAAGTAGCTCGGGGTTTTTTGTTGTTGTTGTTTCCACTGTTCTCCTTGGAAAGCAATTGCAGAACATCGCTATTCTGTTGTTTGGAAACCTGCTTCCAATTTCCAGCCTAAATTTATTCATGACCGATTTGTACTCATTTGTTCTTGTGCCAATGTTGTCCTTTGCTTTAAATAGATGTTTTCTCTTCCTGGAGCCTATGCCCACACAGTATTTGCAGCGGCCTCCATCAGCCTTCATTTTGCCATACTCCTCTCGCACTTCAGGCTCTCCTTTCCCATGGTCACTCTAATGGTCTTTTTCGGTAGCTTCCTGAAAGTGAAGCGAGTCATTTGTGAATAGCGTGCACTATCCTGGTTGATTTCCAACCTGTGCCTCATACACCCGTTACCGGCATTTCATTACCCTTGCTTTGTGTGTTCTGTGTCCTTCCCCTCCTTATTCTTCTCTTAACTATAGCACGAAGGTATAGTAGAAACCTGGTTAACAAGACCCAGATGCATGAACTTGCACTCAAACCCTTCTGAATTTCAACCAATTTATCCTATCCTGGTCCTCAAGGTCACTCAGTTCTTCCTAAATGAGAGTTTTATTCATCTCTGCAGTGACAGTACCTCCCTCCCTTATGCTGTTGGTAAATTCCATTAGCACATGCTGATTTTTTATGCCATCACCATTAATAAAAAATGTTAAATAACATCATACCCATGACCGATGCTTGGGAAGATCTACTACCTTCCCTCAGTACTGATCTTCTCCTACTACTACTTACTTATTCACTTTTCATTTTCTGTACTAATCTCCCATTCTAGCTAATAATTTCCCACATGGCATTGTACCAAATGCTGTACTTGATTTTAGATAATTAGCTCTAAGCACTTCCTTTGTCTAGAAAAATCAGTTATGATGATATTTCAGGCACCAAAACTTGTAGAAGTACCCAAGAAGTGGAAGTAGGGGAGACAAAATGAAATTACCTGAAGTTTTTTGAACACCTGCAACAATTTGGGCTGATTTTCATTTTCAGATGAGCTGCTTCATTCATCCCTAGCAATGACATTTTCATACGTTGTTGAATTTTATAACAGTTCTGAATATTATCACACTAATGCAAAAGCATCATTAAAAATCTCAGATATTGTTATTTGACTGAAAATAAGAATGACCTTAAGGACCTTTATGAAATTAATGCTACTGCAGAACTGTTATAGGAAGGCCTTGTATAAAGGGCTATAAAGCAAGATAAAAAATAAAATACCTGTATTGGTAGTTTTGCTGATACGGCAGCACTATGAATAAATGCCATCTCTGTGGAAGTACTGAAAAAGCAGCTTCAAAACCAGCAGCAATCACAATGTTTTTGAAAAAATATTTAACTGGCAAAATGCCACATTAAAACACAGATGACTTTAAAGATTATTTTCATTATTTCGTGTCACTTTCATTTTTAGTGTAATTTAACAAAACATTCAGACAATTCTATAAAATAGTATCTGCAGGCAGAGACTTGCTATTCACATAAGAAAGTAATGCTGAGATTCAGTAAAGCGTTGGTTGTTCTACCGAGTACCTGCAGAGTCACCATTATCAGGTTTCCTTTTTGAGCTGGAATGAAAGAGGTTGGAAAAAGCAGACAACAATTAGCAAATGTGTAATTAGCTGCAAGGTTTGAAGCATCAATACAGAGGAAGAATCCAAACAAATTTTGGCTTCAAGATTACAGATTAGCATATATTTCTGCAGCCTCCATGTTAGTCATGATATTCTATGTGTGTTGCTTGGGGGAAAAAAAAGAAAAAAAAAAAGGAAGATAGTTATAATAAATAAAGTTTCGATACAGGTACGG